ACTGTCTCCAAAATTGAAACAGCAATGATTTGGCTTGGACGCATCCATGCCAATCAGTGCAGGTGTCACATGACCTTTGCGATCTTTTTACAAATGTTCTCATACCCAAGACTGAAATCGGTTTTGAACAAAACCGATCCAACCGGTTGAAGTCTTCAAAGAGGCAGTTCCAAATGAATGTTTTAGTCCCCTTTTCCGAATTTCTGTCAGCTGTCCGAAATGCCATCCTACGAACTGCATAATTGAAATACTGCTTCACATCCGTAGAAAAAAACACCAAATGTTTGTTTTGCGAATTCGAACCCGGAATTCACAAAATGGATTGTTCATCGGGTGTACTCCGTTGCATGTTTTAACGTGGCTCCTTACTAGGTCCCAAAGTTGCCGTTAATTTTGTCCACTCACAGGGAATAATCACTCACAATAACATCCGTCTGTTCCATCATGTCTAGCCTTTCGAAGGCGTTACATCACTTTACGACTGCGAAGGGATCGTCTTCACTCCTCGTGCTCTGGTTCAACTGCACCCACCGGCCCCGATATCTTCGATTGCCTGTGAAAATTCTTGGAATTTACTAGCCATTGGTTCACCCCACGGTTTTGCCATAATTGATCTGTTTGCGAAATCCACGATCTACGTACAATTGTTGCACGACAAACCGTTGCAACAAAAACTAACGCATGCCGTATCCAGTGAGTTGAGCATGTTATCCCACATATTTCTGAATAACTTGCATGTAGTGCTTTTGAAAAATCTACACGCACGAGTTTATAACCATTTGTGTGCGATGCTTTTGCGCTTTTCCCGGAGAAGCAGTAGACCCAGGCAGGATTGGTGATCAATGGCTTATTCGAGCAATGTCAAAGATTTCCCACTTGGTAAACTTACTTCTGGAAGCCATACAGTAGGTCGATATTGAGGTAAATTATGAAGGTTAAATGCAGTGTTTTGAAAATTTACCTCCATCCGAGTACGGTCACGTGCAGTTCATGGTTTGTCGTTTGTTGTCATTAGTTATTCCGTATTTTATTCTAATTTTAACTCACATCTACGTTGTTGTATTCCTTCATCTTCCGTTCTTGATTACTTCTTTTGCATCACCCGAAAACTGGATTTCGCTTCTTACCTCTTTTTCTCGTTTGTATGGGTTATCATGAACCGGAGAAGTTGCAGTGATGGGGTGAGGATAGTGAAGTTAACGATTTGGATTTTCCGTTCGGTCGTTGGGTCACTATTTCTAGCTTGTGAGAATTGTCGGACGAATTCATATTTGTTTTTAATTTTTTTTTAATTCCAAGGTGTTCAACGTGAGTTGGTCAGTCGTGGGAAACAGTTTACCGCAACAATGCGTCAGTCATTCCGACGTTTGAAACACCTGCGAACATCAACCACTGGAAGTAAAAGTTCCGAAACTGGTGCAGTTGAAACCCAGCCCACGAATGCGGAAGATCAGGCCGACGCCACCACTGGTTAGTGATTTTCAACCAAAGTGCGGTCATACCACGTGTTTTGCTAAGTACAAATCGTGATAATCGGTCATTTAGAATCGGATTATCTCAGTTACTTCGCGATCTTTATTACCGAAACTTCCTTGCGATTGGTTTTTAAATTCCATCTATCATAGTGCTCAGGTTGTATGAACCATGCCACGCATATTGCGGTTGTTTCATGCTCCATTAGCTCTATTGCCCTCAAGCAACCTTTGATACTTCTCGTGTGCCATAACTATCGGTTGTTATAGATTTCTGTATAGACCAGGTTACATCGCTGTCCACAAATATGATTATTTGTTACCGCGGATCATTGCGAAGTTGCGAACTCGCCACCTCGTTGAACACCGCTGCTTTTTTGCGAATGCTCATTAAGTGAACCTAGGTCCACCTTATTAACGATTTGCTGCCAATCGGCCGTCGTTTTATCCCCCAATCTGGGAACGTCCTCGAGACCATACAGCATTGCTCTTCCAATATTGAATAACTTTGATGATTGCCATAGTGCTCTGCACTTAGCTATGTAAGCTTTCGTTTGTGCATTCAGTGTGATCCATTATTCGCCATCAATTCTCTTCCAAGGATCGCTTTGTGGAATTTGGAGTGCATTTCGATTAGGTATTCATATCATTGTTTTTCATCACATCACCGTGTACATTTAATCCCTGCATTACACATCCGTCTTGAATTTGCCGTCCGACAAAGATACTTTTATTCCACGACATGAGATTGTGCATCAACCCATACTGCGGTTCATTACAGAACCCAAAGAAGAAGCTGCAGCGGCCGCCGCCACCGGGGAGGTGGAGGAACCACAAAAAGAAGAAGCGCAACCCGAGAAACCGGGTGAAGAAGAAGTTCACGCTGATCAGCCGAAACCGGAAGAAAAGGACACCATGGAAACCGTAGATGATTGGGACACGGTTATCCTGTCACTCGAAGAGAACCCGTCATCTGTGCGGTCACTACTGTTTACCGATACTTTCTTGCTCAATGCCACAAGTTCGGAGGAATCGCAACCAACTGAGTCTAAACGCACACCCTCTCTGTGGGTCGGTACTGCGAATGGCCGTGCAATCGCTCATGTTTTGAAATGGGAAGGAACTCAAGGCCCAGTCACAGTCCAACCAATAAAGGAACTTCAGCTACGGCATCAGGCACCCATCATCAGTATGTACCTGGTCGATGCTGCAACCAAGAGTCCAGTATCATCCACACTTCGAAAACGATTTTCTAATGATCTGGTTCCCAGTCAACCTGATGTTCTGACTGAAAGCCCCTCCACTCCACAACCCGGTGAAACTTCAACCCCAGTCACACAGGACGCTGCGACTTCGGCCACAACAACCACTACCGTCGAATCACATCAATTGTTGGTCTGTTCTGATGAACAAATCAAACTGTTCAGCCTCCCAACTCTACGAGCACTTCACAAATACAAGTTCGTTGATCGCATTCGTCTGCCCTACTCAGTCGGTCACATCACGCTTACGCCTGACACATCCACAACGAAACCGGAACGACAGGTTACCGAAACGACGGAACAGGGAGATAACGCCGTCGAGGAGGAAACCAAAGCACAACCAAGCCCGCAACCTCACCGAAAATGTCTGACTGCTGTCGGTCTCCAGCGCTTCACTCGANGTTATCCAGTTGGAAGTTCAAAGAATCATCTATTGTATTTGATCATAGACGGTTATTCTTTGTGATGGGTAATATATGAGTGACTGGACGATATTTCCCAGAAGCACAACCGGTTTCGCGGTCCTTGCCGCTCGTTGAGTATGCATATCCAGTAATCTTTTATCTTCTGATTGTTATACTTGAACTCCCGATGTGAATTAAGCGTCTAACCCACAACACTCCAAACTGAATCATCGCAGTGATTCCTCGAGGCTTGTTCACCTCAGGTTAACTCCCCAAGCTGCGAATGACATTTGCTTTGCCAACATTTTGCGTGTAAACAGTATTTCGATTTACGCAAACACTCCATCGATGGGCATCATTTTTTCATGCGCGATTCCCGACAGACAATTCTGGGGAGCAGTAAACGAGGTGAGTGACAATACAAGACTTCAAAAGGACTGAGTAAATTGGAAGTTTTTAAGATTCCAGGCGGGAGTCAGCTAAAAAGCGTGATTCTGAATCCAACCAAGAAGAGACGTATGAACCACATCTTGTTTTTGCCAGTAGTCACCGACTTTGTTTTAGATACTAAACGTTTACCCGTTTATGGTCGGATAGACTGGGCGCCGTCCCCTAATGCATTGCGATCTTCACTCACCGTCCAGCTACGTTAAAAGTCACACTTTGACCGACCAAATGCTCCGGTTTTGAATCCCTCATGAAGATTCACTTGCTCCGAGTTGGGCAACCTGACGATATTCCACCTACTAGCCAATTCTGATCCGATTTCGTTCTTTTCGTGATCTGTTTGACGCTTAGTCTGAACTCATGTGCGTGTGAGATTTAATGGTATAATAATTCCTCAATTAGCTGCAACTGTCGTGATTTGTAAGCAATTGGTGTATCATGCGTTTTAGTGTGATCACCTTGCTTTCGACACAGACAGACTTCATTCACTTCACGGACAAGTGGGAAAACACTGACGTTGCTTTGACATCGCTTTTTATGGATTTTGTATGCCCCTGTGGCAAGCGTCATCTTTCTTACATCAAATCTCCACTGTGCATGTACGTCTGATGCAGGAGTTTTTTATTTAGGATGAGCTTCAGACAACAGATGAGTATTCCCATTTTGTTTAATTGAAAACGTTTTCCTTCGTTGGGTAGTGTTTGAGATATGTCCAACCAATTATCGCGAACTTATCCCACCAAAAGCATTCTGATTGATTTTCCTAACTTTTTTGTTTTCCGCATCGCCATACCTACACCCATACCCATCCTTTTCAGATTTTCTAATGATCTGGTTCCCAGTCAACCTGATGTTCCGACTGAAAGCCCCTCCACTCCACAACCCGGTGAAACTTCAACCCCAGTCACACAGGACGCTGCGACTTCGGCCACAACAACCACTACCGTCGAATCACATCAATTGTTGGTCTGTTCTGATGAACAAATCAAACTGTTCAGCCTCCCAACTCTACGAGCACTTCACAAATACAAGTTCGTTGATCGCATTCGTCTGCCCTACTCAGTCGGTCACATCACGCTTACGCCTGACACATCCACAACGAAACCGGAACGACAGGTTACCGAAACGACGGAACAGGGAGATAACGCCGTCGAGGTTTGTGCATTAGAAAAGCACACTGTTTAAATTCACCTCGGTTCCCGTAGATATGTTTCTTTAGTTTATTTCCTGCTCGCTCCGTACGTTATATCCCTTTTCTATTCCGCCAGTTATTTTCCATGTTTCACCTTTTTCGCCACGTAAGCTTTTTCGGGGAGATTGCTCGTTTACTTAAGAAAACATTTTCTGAAATGGGAACGGGTATGGGATGAATGAAACATTCGCAGATAGCGGTTGTGCCTCCTATGAAACAATAGTCCTAGTATGATGAAAATATTTATTTTGTGTGAGATCAATTGTGTGCAAAATTCTCAATTCCGCTTTGGAGAACTTTGTTTAGGATGTTGGTCGCTTATTTCCTCGATCCCTTATACTGCATTAAATCTATTTCGTTTTTGCTTTGCTATTAATTGTGAAATAATTATTCTTGAACTTATCCTCTTTAATCTCGACATTTGCCGTACACCACCGGGATATAATCTTGTGGTCAATTTCCGACTCACTTCGGAAACCATATGCAAAGCCCATCTGGTCTCCTACAGATTCTTGATTCGATCGACCGTGTACTCAAAGAAACCGGTTCATTAAATCACTGTAAAGATAAGAGCTATATCGGTTACTCAGTAGTTAAGTCCGGCCACTATGCTTACTTTCCTGTGATAATGTCGTTGTATCTTGCTGGACGTCTACTCTCAGTCTTATCCAAACAAGCGATAACCAAGGACTATGTGATCCGAGTTCCGTTTTCCACATTGGATGAATGCAGCTATGGCCCAAACTGGGTAAAGCTACTCCGAAAATCTCGTTGAAGGCATATTGTGTCAGACGATTACACTTAGATAGAAACTCCCCGCAAAATTCACTTTTGGACGGGCCAAAATTTAAAGTCAGATACTCTTATTGAAATTTTTAAGTAAATATTCCTCATGTGCGCGAGATCACCAAATTAGGAGTACTCGATTTGCACGTGTTGCATCTTGCTTCTGAATCTCGGCTCTGATGATAAACACCTATTTTTCAGACATGGGTTGACCGAAAGCATGGTGGATTGCAAGATGAAACTCAGCGGACAATAAACCGCTTACCACAAGCCAAATTATGTTTAAACTGGAACCGCTTCACGCGGCGCCCGTAATCTATTCTCTCACGGTCGTCAGTTTTGTGGTGGTGTAACTAGCAACATGCGCATCAACAATTTTATTTCAATGTTTACTTTGGCGTTATCTCCATCCGATGGATGAAAATACGACTGAAGCGCTTGGATTGGCTGCTATAAAAACTTGATTTCATTTGCGGTCATTGAGCTTTCATATATACAAAGTAATGTGACGCCCGCCCGACACTTTCCATTGTTTCTTCATATATTTGACTTAGGAGGAAACCAAAGCACAACCAAGCCCGCAACCTCACCGAAAATGTCTGACTGCTGTCGGTCTCCAGCGCTTCACTCGAGGGTCAGGTGATCAGTCAAAGGATGAATGGTTCGTCGTTGCCGTTCGTCGGGATTGCAAAGGGGCCATCCTATCTCTATCACATTTGCGCAGAATATGCAAATTGCGAAAATGTGTGGAACCCGATGCCCATCCGATGCATTGCGTTTCCTCT